TGGATTTTGTCATGTTTAGATTTTACTTCTTAAATGTGGTTATGCTTGAAATTATGAGTTGTTCAGGCATTGTATCAAGCCACACTTTCCCTATCTGTTAGTTTCCTGATTTTTTAAAGTCTACTCAGGCAATGTCTCAACCAGACGCTATTGGAGCTCTCACAGAGTAGCTCTAGGGACGTTGTCTGGTGCGTGGTTGCTCTCTCTTCTTATTTGTACATGTCTTCCTCATCTGTTGCATCATGTATCGGATCCCCTTTCCTAATATGCCCATGTGTTTTTTGTGTGTTGGCACACAAATTTTGTGTGCGTTGGATCAAGAATCGACGACTGGTCGCGCCAACTTGCCATTTGACTCTGATTTGCCAGGCCCACCTCTGAGTGTTTGTCGACGAAATATGGTCGGCAGTCCACCGAGGGGGGTGCCCGTGGTGGTAGATTATCGGTAGGATGCGTGTAATCAGAAACCAGATGATTACAGAGACACAAGACACAAGATTTATACATGTTCAGGCCGCCAGTATGGCGTAAAACCCTACGTCCTGTGCTCTGTTATTTGTATTGATCTGGATTGAGATCTGTATGATCTGTTGTATGTGTTGTGTTGTGTTTCCTCTAGGGGACCCCTGCCTCTCCTTATATACTCTGGAGGAGGCGGGTTACAAGTAGAGTATCCCATCTGGTACTATTACAATATCTAGTACAGCTTGTAGCCTTGCGGTGCACGACTTGATCTTGCGGGCCGGGCCACCTCAGTTGGTGCGGCCCATGTACCATCTTGTGGTACTCGGGGGTTTATACCCCCACAGTGTTCTGTTTCGAATTGGGAGTCGCACCTGTCTGGTTTTCCCAATTCTCCCATCGTCTTCTCCCCTCCAACTCTCTCCTGGTCAGACGCTCTTGGAGAGGCGACCTCGTCGCTCCATCAGGCCCTGTCTCCGTGCGTCGCCCCGCCTTCAAAATCGGTTGCTTGCTTGTCGTCTACCATTGCTAGAGCTCTGATGTACCTGTGTGCACCGCTTTTCTCCCTTCCTATAAAATTTGCCTCATCTTTTTCCTGATGGATGGAGATTTGAGTGGGGGGTTTTGGGATGTAGCCGGGGGGATTCGAACATTCTGTTTGGCATTAATGTGTAGGTTGGATTTGTGTCGGATTTGGGGGATTTTTGGTTTGTGGCTGTGGATTTGGTTGCAGCCCAATCCTCTCTGCATCGCTTGGTGGTGCAGGTAGTGTCCTCGCCGCTGGCTGTGGGTGGGGCGAATGTCGTCGTGCAGGCAGTAGGTAGGGCGGAGGTTATCTGCGGCAGGAAGCGGGTGGGGCGGAGTTGTGGGTTGGGGCGCTTTCTGTACTGCTCTGAAATCTCTGGAAAAATCCTTCAGAAACTATTACATCACTTCTGTGCTTTCTTCAGATAATTCCATGTATGTTTCAGTACTCTAATTCAGTTGTGCTTACTTCAGGTGCCATGACATGATTTAGATTTATTTTATTTTTTTCTCTCGTGCCTTTTGGAGTTTATATAATTTATGTTATGCTCTATCTAGAAAAAAATTGTGATATGTGATTGTGCTTCCACGGAAAAAAATTTGTGATCTGTCCTTCCATAGAAAATAATTGTCTCTATGTGATATGTGATTTTGCTTCCATAGAAAAAAATTGTTAATGTTTATCGAACTTTTATTTCTATGCTACTTATTGTGCACAAATTATCATAAGGGTTAAAAGTCTTATGCATTCTTGTCTACTTTGAGATGATTCTTGATTGCTTTGTAATATTTTTTTATAAATATATTATTGTTTATTTGATTGTTAAAAGTTTTTAACTCCGCCTATGGTCCATCATAGCAGGTCCCAATCCCTAGTAAAGGATGTGGGTTAAAACTGTCTTTGTTTTTTTTGTTGTGTAGGCTTGAAGACCGAACAATTGGTACTATGGTGGAAAAAATGTAAGTTGTTATTTCCATAGAAAAACATTGTCTCTTGTGATTTGTGATCTATGATCTGCGTTTGTTGTCATAGGAGGCTGGAGGTAGATGAAGAGGTGGTGGGTGTTGGATGCCCATCCTATCATGGCATAAGGCAATGAAAAGTTCAGGTTATATCTCTTAACTGTGGTTGTCATCTATCTGTGGCTCCCATACTTCCAATTTATTTATTGCACATTATTTAGTAATAAACTACATACTTTAATTTTTGCAATTATGGTGCTGAATATTTGCAATTATTTGATATCTATTATAGAGAGGACTGAGCCACCTTGTCATTGTTTTGGAGTGCATTAGTGATTTAGTCTCTGCCCACCCCAATAGGTAACATTATTTTGGTTGTTAGAGCTTGGTTAAATTGTGATATGAGATTGTGATATATGAAGGATGCTGGATGTAGAAGAAGTGGTGGGGGTTGTAGTTTTTGTTTTGTGTTTGTCGTTTCTGTGATTGTGCTCCTCCCCTCTATGCTTGTGATTGTATTTATATGTGGACAATTTTTATAAATTATCCTTCCACAGAAAAAAATTGTGTCTTGTCTCATGTTATGTCCTTGTGTTAGATGAAGGAGGGTGGATGTAGAGAAGATCTGGGGGTTGTCAACATAGGATTTGGAAATGTATCTTGGTTAGTCTCGGTACATGAAGCGCAAGGCTTCTTGTCATTTCTTGATCCCTTCTTATGTTGTCGAGTCAATTTTGTAGCGAGTGCCCATCCATGTTGTCGAACACGAAAACAAAATAGATGCATAAGATATTGTTTTGATTGCTGAAATAGTTATCAATATGTGATTGTGCTACTATTCCCCCCCCTCTCTCTGTGATTGTGGTAGTATGAAGGAAAAATATTGTAAATTGTCCTTCCATAGAAATAAATTGTCTCTTGTAATCTTTGATCTATGATCATCCTATGTGATCTGTGTTTGTGGTAGATGAAGGATGGTGGAGGTAGGACAAGATGTGGGGTTGTTGGATCTGTGATTTGTGCAAACACATTTTGCATTTTTGTCATCTGTGGTCTTACTTTGGTCATGTTCTATTTCTCTAAACAGGTTGGTTCCATTCCATCCTATTTAATTTGCGCCTAGACCTGGACCTGTCGGTTTGTTAGAGGTAAGCTCTTTGGATCGTCTTTATACGTTGTGACAATTAACTAGTTGTTTTGTCCAGTTTTAGCAAAAACTGTTAGGCTAATCACTACTAGACTAGTTTCTTAATAGGGAAAAATGTGTGAGCCTTTGTTCTGAAATGTTTGGTCTCATTTTCAGTAACCAAGGTGAAACACATTTCTTATAACTTTTGTATGTTTGTCACAATGAACTAGTTCTTTGGAGCAGGTTCAAGCCAAAAACACTTAGCCTCATCACTACTAGACTAGTTTACGATCTTAACGGGGAAAATGTGTGAGCCTTTGTGCTAAAATGTTTGCTCTGATTCTTAGTGACCTAGGTGAAAACATATCTACTGCATATTTTCCTTGGATGGGACCTCTGTTCTTGTTTTTTTTTTTCGTTTAGTGGCGAGGCTTTTTGGAGCTCTGTGCCTCCATGCCGATTATTGTGACATGTGGTTTAGGTGGTTCGAGCATTGTTGTGGGGCTAGTGCTGAATTGTGTGGTTAGTGTGGTGGTCATTTGTGTGGGTTTTTTTCTTTGGTGCCCTTGATTGTTTATCGGGAACCATCGTAGCGAGCCCCATCTTGTTCGGTTTTATGTGGCCATGTGGATGTGGGTTTTCTTTCATAGAAAAAATTATCACTTATGATTTGTGCTAACATATCTTGAAATTTGTTAACATGTTACATAACTGAACCCCTTACTTATCCGGCCTTTTGTTACGAGAGAAGAGGCGGTCTATGACTAACCGGTCAGAGAGAGAAGTACCTTGACAAAATTCGATGAAACTTCTACCCTCCTGTATGTATTGTTTTTTGTTTGTGTTGATTTACTCAAAATCCTAAAATCTTCTCTGTCAGTACGTTCGATCTCTGACTTGGGCGTGTGCTTTGTCTGCTTCTTTGCATGCTCCCGGGCATGTGAATAGACTGCTATAGATGCTCTGAACATATAGTATCTCCTCATGCCTATCCACTAATGGATTAGTGGCGTTTATTGTTCTTGTCCATAATAGTCGCAGTGCTGTGTTCCTATTAATCTGTTCTATTCACGAAAAAACAAATAAACATTAAGTTACTTAATAATTGCAACCAACAATGCTTTAATTTGCAATTATTGAGAACTGTAATTTTAGTGTTGAGGATATGCAATATGTTCCTTTTTACTTTCAGGGGTTGACTATTAGTAAGGAAATCATTCTTCCACGAGAATCCTTCCAACTTTTTTGATCTGGGTTTTGTGTAGTGGGTTGTACATGGTATAGTTGAACTGAGCGGTTTGGAATTCATAGTTTGTCTGTTTTCCACATTTCTACAATTATGTAATGTCTTACTGGGCCACAACTTTTTCTTTGTTTATTGTGATTTGTGCTAGCCCACACCATAGTTAAATTAGTAATAATACTAGTACTTTTCTAAGCAGGTTGGATTAGTGGTGTAGATGTCGTCCAAGCTATTTAGTTACCTAGTGATTTATTGAGGTAGATTATGTATTTATATACATATACAGTATAATTGCAATAACAGTATGTAGTATTTGCACTATTTGAAATGTGCAATATTTGCATTCTTGTTTTGTAATATTTGAAGATGATATTCATTGTGCATTTTTTCACCGAGAACATCTCATTATGTGTGAGTAAATATTTTATGTCAGTAGTAATTTCATCAATATAATGCAGTACACTTAATTTGCATATAAGATTGTGCAAAATCTAGCAGCAATCAGGAGAAACGCAGGATGGAGGCAGAAGCAGGAGAACAAGCGCAAGATGGAGGCGCTCAACCTGCGCCACCTCTCCGCCGTCATCAAGGAGGCCCCCAAGACCCCTTCCCCACTGGTGTGATGCCACGCCCGCTTCTGCCTCCTTCGTTCGTCTTCACCTGCTATATGCGCCACCGTTAGTCTGACTGACCCTTTGTGAGCAGAAGCCGAAGAGGCGCAGGATCATCGAGGACGCAGTCGTGGTTCCCTCGCCTCCCAGGAGGTCCCGCCGGCTTGCGTAACTCCCTGAGGTCAAGTACGCTGAGGTATCTGTCTTCTTTTGCCTGCTCTGTCTTGCGCAACTCCCTAAGGTCAAGTACGCTGAGGTATCTGTCTTCTTTTGCCTGCTCTGTCTCGTTTTCCTTTTGGGCTCTAATAAATGCACATATTTCGCTATTATTTTAGTGATTTCCAGACGTGTTTGTGTGGCCAATGAACATGATAGTTTCTTATTTTGAGCTCAAGGCTTCCCATTTCTTTCCATCGGAAACAGAGCAACATTTTATTTCTCTGCTCTTAAATTGAAACATTGTGGCGTGTACCAACCCATGTGGCCATAAAAAAAAGCACAATCTGTTCAGTTTACGAAACCATGTGATTTTGGTAAAGGCAACTGAAAAGTTGAACATTTGTGTGCCGCAACAGATTTTTTTTCTTACAAAATCATTTCAAAAGTCATTGGTTTACAAATGTTTCTTCTGATAATCATCCTGTAATGTAACATGGCACATCGTGCCATTTTGCCTAGCATCCATGTCATGAACTATAAATTTGAACCATTTGTTTTTACTGACAAGTTGTATTTGCCAACAGATAGCACCACACACTGCAGATAGAATGACAAGGTATGTGGACATTTGCTAGCTGCCTAGCCTGACCATAGGAGCTATAAACATATGCTCTGCTCCTCTTAGGTAACAATCCTGTTGTTCCGTTTCTTCCGTAGGTCTCCTAGAAAACCAGCTGACCTCATCTACATGGCAAGAAGCGGAACAATTTCCATGAAAGCTAGGTTGGAGGCAACAAAAAAGGCCGAGGAGCTAGAATCACAGCTTGACCCTGGCATCCCATCCTTTGTGAAGGCAATGTTGCATTCACATGTGGTTCGGAGGTTTTTGGCTGGTGAATACTCAGCTCTACACCCGTTTGCTCTCCCTAGCAACTTATGCCATGTGCTGGTTTTTCTGTATGTATGATCGAAAGTGTCTCCCGAGCCATTTCTGTGACACTTACATGCCGAAGCAAGACGCCATTATCACCTAATTCGACACCAACTACCTTGCCTACAAGAAGAGGCTAAGTGGCGGATGGGCTGGTTTTGCACTATGCCATGGGATTCAGGATGGAGATGCAACTGTTTTTCAGTTGATTAAGCCCACGACCTTTAAGGTACTATATGCTTTAAGTGCAATACCGTTTTTCAGTAGTTCAAAGCATGTTTTTTTTTTCATTTATAATGCTCAGTGCTCATTTACCAATGAATTCGTCTCCCAGGTGTATATCATCCGAGCAGCCTCTGATGATGGCAGTGAGCGAGATGAGTGACTGCATCACGCACAGCCGTACTAACTTAGCAGGACGTGGAATGTGGGATTTTGAGTATTTTTAGGCTTTATCTATCATAATTGCCCTAGTGTGTATTTTATTTACCAATGAATTCGGTGCTACTAGTGAGAGGCTGAACTACTCTTTGTTGATATTGGGCCTCTCTGTCTTCTTAGTTAGTGGATCTCTCTGACACGTCTTTATTGGGCTGAACGATAGTTGTGGGCCTTATTTGCCTGATGGAATTTGTGTGTTGCATTCTCTTAAAACACACGTTTTTTCCGGTGTTTCAATTCGTGTGTTTTTTAGGCATCTAACAACCATGTGCTAACTAATCCAAAAACACGTGGTTTTTTCTATATTGAAATCTGTGTAATTTACATATAGCCAACAACCATGTGTTGGCTTATGTTAAAACAAACACTTTATTTGTCATCTTGACAGTGGCCGGAGAGCTGCGTGCATGTACGTACGTACCAACTTGAGTCTGGAGAGGGTGTCGGAGTTGGGAACGTCGCCGTCGCCGCCGGGGAACTCGCGGAGGACCTCCTCCCTGACCTTGTGCTGCCACTGCGGGTGCGTGCTGAGCAGGAACACGGTCCACACGAGGAGGGTGGCGGTGGTCTCCTGCCCGGCGCCGAAGAAGGTCTTGCACTCGTCGATCACCTCCCCGGTGGTCAGCGTCGTCGTCGTCCCTTCGTCGTCGTCGCTCCCAGCTTGCCGCTCCGGCTCCGGCGACCACGCCTCCAGCAGGAGCCCGAGCAGGTCGTCGCCGTAGCCAGCGCCGCAATTGGCGGCGGCCACCCGCGCCGGCATCATCGCCGTGATCTTGCTCCTCAACAGCTTGTCCAGACGTCGCACCGTTAATTAGGTTGCGCCGAGTCGGCAGATGCCTAGAAAAGAGGGGGAAAATTATTGGAGCAACCAAACTTGCATTGTTTGTCGTCAAATGCCATGAGCTTGCATTGCTATTATTACTTATTACCAGAGTATGGGGCCATCCAACATGGCCGCGGCGCCCATCTTCTGCATCTCGTGCATCAGGACGAGGACCTCGCCGGCTTCCTGGTGGCTGGTGCCGAAAGCGGCGCGGCCGATGATTTCTGCGGTCAGGTCGCAGATGGCGCGGTCCACTTGTATCTCCGCTGCTTGACGAGCACCGCTGTGCAGTATTTGCTCACACCATCGCCGCGCCATCTGTTCCGTAGCTTCTGCCGTCACTGCCGACATGCTCTGAACTCGATCGATCCAGGTAAATCGTGTATATAACCATGCAATCCAACAGGACCAAAGTCAGTTGCTAAATTAGATCGATCTGCCTATATATACTATGTATGCAAATATATACACATGGTGCATTGTGCGTATATAATCTTGTCACTTCAGGAACTGCTGGCTTCCCCGAGTGCCAGGCACTCGGGGAAGGCTCAGTTGCACTCGGGAAAGCCTTTCCCGAGTGCAACACTCGGGAAAGAGCCTCCGGCTAATCCTCCCACGGGAAAGGCGTCTTCCCCGAGTGTCGAAAATCGTACACTCGGGGAAGGCTTTGCCGAGTACCGTGCTGGCACTCGGGGAAGACTTGACGCCGTTGGCCGACGGCCGACGCCGTTTTCTTTTTTTTTTTGATTTTCTTCCCCGAGTGCAACACTCAGAAAAGATTTTTGAATTTCTTTTAAATACTCTTTGCCGAGTGCCGCAGCATTTGACACTCGGCAAAGAAATTTGTTTTTTTTTAAAAAATCCCTCTTTCCCGAGTGCCACAGCACAGGCACTCGGGGAAGCCACCTCTAAATTTTTTTTTGTTTTTTGCTTTTCCATGTAAACAACAAAGGATATATATATATCACAAACCACAAATCAACACCAATATGTCACAAACCACATTTATATATCACAAACGACCAAATTTGTCCGAAATCCACAATATATTACAAACCACATGTTTAAAAGTACACACTATTCCAAGTTCACAAGTTCAATACATAAAAACGACTCCGAAGATGGTTCACGGCGACTGTGAGGGGTGGGACGCCCCCAGCGTGCGATCCCGACGTCGGTCAACATATCTGTTGTACCTCCTGCCTGGGACAGCCTCATGAAGCTTCACTAGGATCCAGAGCGTGTACAGTTGCCAGAAATAAGCAATAGTCAATGAAATTATTCCCCCAGCTCCTGTAGTCCAAAGAGTCAAAAACAGTGATATGTCAGAAATGGTTCTAAACTTCAGCTATAATAATTTAGGGATATTGAATACTTCAGGGAAATTGGCTGAGAAGATTGAAATCCAGTCCAACTGGACGCCATAACCAATGGTAAAAAAATGATGCAAGATTTTTTTTCTTTTTCAATTGCAATAAAGAAAGTATAACCTTACCAATTAGTTACAAGTACTGCACACTTTATTTGTTCTAAGTTACACATGCTATGCTCACAACAATTCAACAAACTTCAAATCAGAGAAGGAAAAACAGAAGGACGAAATTCCATGAACATATGAGATTTATACTGTGATTTGAAAACTTTTAATTGTCTCTCCTGACACCTTCACACATACTGGCAAACAGAGCATCCTCATGAATATAAATATAGGAAGGAGAGGGTTAAGCAGTCACAAAACTTTTCAATCAAAAGACTGGACCTGTTGAGCCTGACCTGAAGTTGTTTGACAATCCAGAGCGGCAATTGAAGCACAAAAAATTTCCTTGGTAGAGAAATTCCTGCTTCACCTCAACTGAATTTGCTCCTGCAAAATTATTGGCATGGGAAACCACCATAAATAGCTTGGATGTAACGTTACTTTAATTTAGTAGACCATGAAGGAAACTCACATGATCAGAGGCACCATTTATTCCCTGATGTTCTTTAATTTAGTACCAGAATTGAGATGATGAAATCTCCTTTAGCATTGAGTTTTTGCCCCTTGCTTTGTCAGTTTCCTCAATCTAGAAGAAAAAACATCTAGCGCCAGAGCACGTAACAAATTAAATGAAAATCTAGTGAATGAATATTATTTCAGCACATAAGAGCATTGGGGAAAGCAATGTTGTTGGATTTCCTACTTGATTTCATAATCTGGACACAAAATCTTTTAGAAGCAAATGAACTCAGCAATCAACTAACATACTAATGGCACCCCAAGATTGGAGACCTGCAGGCTTGCTCATGGCTTTCGTGCTGCTGTGCGTTCAAATCTGGAGACGGACGTCTTGAAGGAACAGAGAGCTCACCTTGGCATTCAGTTCGTGGGGATCGAGCAGGTAGCCCATGGAGCCGCCCGCTGCTACCGCCACCATATATCCACCAGGGGCACCAAATAGCAAAAGGAAACATTGTCTGCATCAGAACGAAACAAGATCAGCCATATTGGAAAACCAAAATTTGTTTGCATCAAACACTGACATGCAGAGTATTGTTGCTTGCTTCAATTCGTCACCTAACCAGAGTAATATCCACGCATCAATCCATGGGAGGCACTAGTGGAAGCAGCGGATGGTTGGCAACACAGGGGTGAAGAATGGAGGTGGGCAGGAGCAGTGACCGCTTGCTCACCATCCGAGGCCCGGGAAGGCGAGCGGGAGGAGGAACGCCTGGAAGCCGAGGCCGGCGTTGAGGGAGTGAAAGGCGACGTAGCGGGGCGTAGCCGCCGCGGCTCTCGGTGACGGGCAGCCAGGCGTCGCGCAGGTCGAGGCGCGTGAGGTGGCCCACGTCCTCCAGGTACCCGCGTAGGACCTCCACCACGCGACGCCCAGGGGTCCCGGAGCCCTTGCGCCTCCCACCGCCGCCCCCGCCGGCTCTAGTCGGCGTCGCCCGTCCCACTCCCGAGCTGCAGCAGCAGGTGCGCGAGGGAGTCCGCCGCCGCTGCTTGTGGAATGGGAGAAGGGAGGAAAGCTAAAGAACGAAGTTAGGGTTCGACGGAAGCAGTGAGGCGAGCATCTTTACCGTCCATTTTTCGATCTAACGTCTAGGACGAGACAGGCCTTTGATTTGGGCTATGGTGGGCCGAATTCAATTAGGGTTTAGGTCTAATATACTGCGTTAAGTTTTTTTATTTTAACATTTTAGTATATTTTTTTTTAAAATGAACAGAATTTAGCATGACACACATGGTCTTTCAAACAGAAAAGTTGTCAACAAAAAAATTGTACAACTCACTAAGATGTACAACTTTTATTTTGGTCAATTCCCCATCCGAGTTTGATTGAACTATTTAAAATTTAAATTTCAAAATATAATGAATTCAAATAGATTTTTGGGGTAATAAATGATTTCAAATGGAAAAAATCTCAACAACAAAGTTGTATAACGCATTGAGATCTACCACTTTTGTTTTGGTCATTTTTCCATATGACTTTGTTTGGACAGTTCAAATTTTGAATTTCAAAATATAAGAACTTCGAATAGAATTTTAGGGTACTAAGTCATTTCAAATGAAAAAGTCATCAACAACAAAGTTGTAGAACTCATCGAGATCTACATCTTTTATTTTAGTCATTTGTTCATCCGACAAAGCAATAGTAACATTGTCCATAGATTTTATATATCTCTCTTACAGTTTCATAAACTATAAGACATATATGTAAATTCTGTGGACAATGTTACTATCACTTCGTCGGATGAACAAATGACCAAAATAAAAGTTATATATCTTGATTAGTTCTACAACTTTTATGTTCATGACTTTTTCAGCTGAAATCATTTACTACATCAAAATATTATTTGAAGTTGTCATTTTTTGAAATTCAAATTTTGAATTGATAGAACAAAGTCACATGAAAAAATGACAAAAAATAATAGCTGTAAGAACACAATAACTTGATAGATCATGATAGCATATATTTAGGGGGAGCTTGTCATATCCAAAGTGCCAAATTGTGAGCTTTATATGTGTTGTTATCAATCACCGAAAATAGGGAGTTTGTAAGTGCAATAAATCCTATTTGTGAGTTTTGGTGAATATAATGACAAAGCAATAAAGAGCTAAGGATGTTTCGTGAGATTTTCATTTAATCATCGATGTGAAAAGTCCAAATGAGAAATGGGAACCCTAAATTATTACTTCAAAGCTAGTAAGTCATGCTTCAACTTGAGATAATTTCATTTTATTTTAACTTCTCTTGATCAGTGATAGGATGCCGTACTATACAGAGGTTGGGATCGAAATTATATCACTTGCAGGTGTTCTAAGTGCTCAAAAGATCAATTCTATTTTCTCTAGACACCTTCCTAAAATCATTCTTAGACTTATATTTTCTGGTCCAAGCTAGCTTAAAAATTCTTCTCAGCCGAAAATTCCTTTTCCTTCAACAAGAATTTTCGAAAGCCTACTCCTTTGAAATTTCTTGCTTAGCCACCTTAAATTTCCAAAGCACCCCTCTCTGTTGAAGACCGCAAATTAACTGGAATTTTATCAAGCAAAAAATTCAACAAGAATTTTCGAAAATCTACTTCTTTGAAATTTCTTGCTGAGCCTACTTAAATTTCCAGAGAACCCCTCTCTGTTGAAGACCGTAAATTAACTGGAATTTTATTCCTCCCAAGCAAAAAATTCCAGTGCGGTTTCTGAAAGGGCCAAATAATATAGATATGGCCGGTCAGGTTATTATCAAAAGCAAGAAAAGGCCAGGTAGATGTCTAGGTTTTAGGCATCCGATGTCACAACTTGCTCGAAAACCTTCTCAATTTTTTATCATAACCTCTACATGCGATAACACGACGCCCCGACAAGTTTCGTGATTTTCGGACTTCGTTCGGATTTTATATAATTTAAAAACACTTTTCCCGCAAGTTATTCGTCATGTTACGTCAACAAGATGCTCGACATTTCGTGCTAGTTCCTGGATAAGGCCTACACCAAATATCATGAATATCATTTTTTGAATCACCAAATTCCATTATTTCATGCACCTGCAGTTCAAATTTGAAGTATGTAAAAAAATTCAACAAAACGAAAAAAACTAACGAAATATAACAAAAAAAAAGTTAAAATTGTCCCAAATTTAAACAGGGAGTTTTAAATAATGTGAGAAGGTCTCACAAAAAAAATGAGGCAAAAAAAACAAAAAAAAACAAAAATTCTTCCCCGAGTGCCTTCCCTGGCACTCGGCAAAGAGGCCCTTTCCCAAGTGCCAGGATAGGGCACTCGGGGAAGGCAGCTTCTTCCCCGAGTGCCCTGCTTTGGCACTCGGGAAAGGGCCTCTTCCCCGAGTGTCAGAGAAGGCACTCGGGGAAGAAATTTTTTTTTAAGTTTTAACGGCGTGGGCAGGGTGGACCGTCAAGTAACATGTTTCTTTGCCGAGTGCCGATCTTCCCCGAGTGTTGCACTCGGGGAAGAGGGCCTTTGTCGAGTGCTGCTCTTTACCGAGTGCCAAGATCTCTGCGGCACTCGGGAAAGCCTCTCTTCCCCGAGTGCAATTCTTCCCCGAGTGCAACACTCGGGGAAGATTATCTTTCCTGAGTGCCTGATTTTTGACACTCGGGGAAGCCAACGACACTCGGAGAATTTTGGCTCTTCGTGATGATGCATGAGCATGACGACCTTGATCCTGTCGTGGTTGAAGGCTGGAAGGACAACTTTCCTGTGCCGTTTCCAGTCGTCGCCGTTTGCTAGTATGAGCCCGTTGCCCAGCAGGACTTTGAAGACGGGGATCATGAAGTCCTTGGCAAACAGGCCCGACCTGTCTGTAAGCACTTCCTTAATCAGCTCTAAATCAACTGAGAAGATCGCAGGGGTTGGCCCGATCCAGTACAGGAATGTCCTCCCTGAAAGATCAAATTAAAGAAATAATCTCATGTGGACCTTGTTTGTTCAAACTTCAAAGCATGCATGCATGTGCGTTCGTAGCAGATACATGTAAGTTAACAACAACGTACGTAATGCTAATTCTGCTCTGCCCAAGCAAGTATCTGTAAATATAGAGTTTTACTAGGCCCAACTGCCCAAGTTCTGGTTGATGAGATGCATGGCGCTGGTCCGGAAGAAAATTTGGTGCAGCCTGGCTGCACCCACGCATGGTGCAGACCCCACAGCGATGAAAGACACGTGTCCAGGAATTGATCACTGATGGTTAGATGAGCGGCGTTGGAAACCAAACTGAGCGGTGAACAAAAGACGGAAGTTGCCGGATCATGCGGGATACGGCAGATTACTCGGGCATCGTTGCCTACCCGGACACGTGGCTTCATTGCCGTGGGGTCTGCACCGTGCTTGGGTGCAGTGCCTGTTGCTTGCCTCGCCCATACGGTTCCTGGTGGGCTTTCTCAGGATTGCTGCTGGGCCGGTGATGGAAATATATTGGGCCCGAGAATGTCTGCACTCTACAGAATGCTGGGCTGAGCTCAAAAAAAAAAAAAAGATGCTGGGCTGAGTAGTGACAGTGGTTTGGGTAGTGTAGCCAGCTCTCCGCTTGGTTGAAGACTTTCATCTCAGCTACTAGTTGTTCACCTCTTGTCGTCCTGTAGCCGCTCGATCGTCACGGGTCCTCGTCATCGAAACACAGAGCTGAGCTTATGAAGAAACTAGGGGTCACAAATGACGAGGATGCGGAGGCCTTTGCAAGTATATGCACGCATTTCCCTTTGCCATTCTTATCATATATCAAAGTGCGCGGCCATCCCTTTGGACGAATATATATAGGTGTTGTAACTCTCTTTCTCCTAATAAAATATACACATTCACACACACACAAAAAAAAACATGTCTCTCATTCTCTTTCCTAGACTTCATGACAATGGTCAACCGAAATATTGCTTTGATAAAGCAGTCATTGAACAATTAATGAAACTATACCATTAGCATGAGTTATTGCCATGGGAAACTATTGTTGCATGTGGAGACCTTTTTTAGCTAGGCATATATGGCCATATGGGCAAAGAATATTAAACATAATTTGTACTTAGTGTTAGCATGGTTTTGTCAGCCTAGGAATGTTCGTGTGTAGTAGTAGGTCATGACGACTGCGCACATCTCCTAACTAATGTATAGAGGCCAGAATACGTTTTACTGCTCGTTATCAAAAGTAACTCACAGACTATCAAAAATATATACGGAGGAGTGTTAGGGTTTACCATACTCGACGACCCATCTGTGAGGCTTTTACCTGTGTACCCTTAAAAAAGATGCCACACTCCTGCGTACCCCTCAAAAATTGGTCGTCACCTACATGCCCTCGCTCGAACTTTTCTTTTCCCTCACGCCATTCCGTCGGCATTCTGTTAGGTTTTGGCCGTTTGGCGGCTCTGACATGTGAGACCGGGCTAGAAAAATACCCTCCTTGCCCTCTGGGTCACTAACATATTGGGCCGCATCTCCTTCGGTCTCACCCGAGCCTCTCTCTCAGTCTCTCCCCAATCTCGTTCCTCACTCTCTCACCCGAGCGCGGGAGGACGCGGCGGCGAACCCTAGCGGCGGCGGATCTGGAGACGGCGGCAGTCGGTGTTGGCGGCCCGCCCTCGAAATCCTAGCCCCATGGAGCAAGACGGTCGGGCGGAGTAGGCATGCCGTGGAACGGACCCGGCGAGAGGCCGGATTGGTTCCGGGAAGAGTGAGTACCGCTCCTCCTCCCTCCTTGACTTCGCCCCTCCTTGTATTGATGTTGATTGCATTAGTGTATTGCGCTACCGAATCGTGTTTAGGGTTTATTGATTACGTGCTCCTTGTTCATCTGTGGGATGGACCCAAACAGTAGTTACAACCTAGAAATGCGGATTGTTGGTCCCAATTGTTGTGCAAAGTGGATCAACTTTATGGGCCTTGGGGCAAGAGTTTCCACAATTTGTTTAGGTTTAAGGCCCAGTTAGAACAATCTAGTCCTAGTTCAGTTCTTGTCATTGATCATCACACCATCAATAATAAGGTCAGGTTTAACAGGCTATTTTTTGCTCTGAAAGCATGTGTTGATGGATTTCTTAGAGGATGTAGACCATATCTTGCAGTAGATAGTACCTTTTTGACAGGAAGATTTAGGGGATAGTTGTGTGTTGCATGTGCAGTAGATGCCCACAACTGGATGTATCCAGTTGCTATTGGTGTTATTGACTCTAAAACCAATGAAAATTGAATCTGGTTCATGAAGAGATTGAAGGAGGCAATAGGCACTCTAGAAGGCATGACATTCCATACAGACTGTGGGCAGGCAGTAATGAATGGAGTCAGTCAAGTTTTTCCAACAACTAAACATAGAGAATGTATGTATCACTTAGTACATAATTTCAAGAAGAGGTATAGTGGTAGAGTGTTTGATGATCACTTATGGGCTTCCTCATATTCATGGAGCCCATACATGTTTAAGAAGCATTATGAAGCAATGGCTGCAGCCAAACCAGAAGCAATGAAGTACTTGCAAGAGAATCACAAGAAGCTTTGGACCAGGAGCCAGTACACCACACTGTCAAAGGTTGACTATGTAACAAACAATTTGGCTGAGTCCTTCAACAACTGGGTCAAACCTGAAAAGTGTAAGCACCTGGATGACTTGCTGGACACTATAAGGCAGATGCTTTTGATCAAGTGGAACCATAGGAAGAGGGTAGCTGCTAAGCTCAATGGCAAAATTATGCCCCATATCATGCAGAGGCTTAGGGAAGACACTTACAACTTGGACATAGATGTCATCACAGCCTCACCTGAAGGTGTGACAGAGTTGTGTGCTAAAGGTCTATAAGGAACTGGGTTCAGGTTTGTGGTCAACCTAGCAGACAGGACCTGTTCTTGTAGGGTTTGGCAGGGGTCAGGAATCCCATGCAAGCATGCCATTGCATACATTACCTTAATTCCTGGCGCAAAGCTTGAAGACTATGTGGATGAGTACTTCTCTGTCAACAATTTCAGAGTTGCATATGACGGCTCCATCCCTAGCATACCTGACAAGAGCATGTGGCCAGAGGCAGAACCAGGCTTTTTCTTGAACCCTCCTCTTCTTAAGTCCACAGGTGGAGGTAGGAGAAAGAATAGGATGAAATCTGCACTTGAGGGAGGCAGCAGCCAGAGGAAGTCAAAGAAACATGAATGCTCCATCTATCATCAGTTGGGCCATCACTGGTACACTTGTAAGAATGGGAACCCAGAAGACATAGCTGCAATGGAGGCAGCAAGGTAATCTGTTGTCCTATGCATATAGCTACCTTTGCATGTACATAGCTTTGCATATACAGAAGCTAATCTATTTTCCTTTGTAGGGGCACACCAAAGAAGAGGTTGAAGAAGGCTGTAGCAAGCAACACAGAGAGGAGTCTTGTGGTGGCCCAGCCATCCCAGATGCAGTTCCCATTCAATGAGGCAGTGGCAAATGCCATCCATAACAAAAGGAAGAGGAAGTCATCCTCTTCTTCAACCTCCTCACAGAAACACAAGGGTATAGCACCAGCCACCACTAGTTCAACCTCAGCTCCTACTAGTGTGTCTACAAGGTACGTGTTCTTTGCCTCATCCTTTTCATTTCAACCAGGTGGAAATCTAATGCATACTATTGACTGTCAGGTCTGGAACTGGTTCAAATGATCCAGTCCCACTCTTATCTGTGCATCTGGTTCCTTTCAATGAGGACTCCATTACAGTGGACACCCAGCCCAGCCAGCCAGTTGATGACCTCCCACTTGAGCCTGTGGATCCACAATGCACACCAAGAAGAAATAAGGGAGCAGTGAAGAAGAAGTTGACACCAAAGAAGCTACAGTAAGAAACTCTAGTGATGTTCTATTACTGCTGTGATGTTCTTTTTTTGGCCCTGACGCATGATCTTTTGGTACTTTGATGTTCTTTTGGGGCTGTCATGAAAAACCTTGTCTGAATTGATGGTTCATGTTAGTGATGTGAACAAACTCTAGTAATTTAGTTTCTATGTGTAAACTGTAAGTGATGTGATCAAACACCATATGCTGTTGGTGATGAAACACATTATGCTACCAGTTATGTGATGGATGAGTGAACTGTTAGTTTCTTTGTCTTAATGTTGTTATGAACCATGAGAAGGATTCATTCATTCATCTATTCATTCATGCATTGATTGATCCATACATCCATGAAAACTCACACACACACACACAACAGCAGCCTACTTGAAAATAGCATACAAAGCAAGCACCAAGCACAAATACACAAGTTTTTCAATCCTCCTAAGTCATTGCACGCACCTCTTGTCCATTGGTGCATGGCCTTCAACTACAATTTGCTGGGAACCTTCTGCAAGATGGCGGAGGAGGAGTGTGGAAAACCACTGTGTGTTTGCCAACGCTGTGATAAAGTGGAACTGCTTGATTGGTGTAGCTGTCTCCCCATCTCATCCTCCCACCGATAAGTACCGACATCCTCCAATCTGAAATCCAATATAAAGACTGAGCAAAGAGGAAAGACAAACAATGTTGACCAAAGAGAGAAGCACAAACATGAAATAAGGGCACTTGTGAAAGGCCGGTTGGGGTTAATACTGGTCGTCGAGATGAAGCGATTGGCGAGCACATTGCGATTCGAAGCAAAGCACACACCGCCTTGGCGCACCACCATAGCTGCTTTGCTACCTTGTGACATGGTGTCAAAAGAGAGGGCTCAAGAGAGTGGCAACTCCCGGCCTTTTGGCGCCAATATATAGGAGAAGGACAGGCTTTTTGGTGCCAAATCCCTGTCCTTTGGCGCCAACAGCGGCGTCTCTGGCGCCAAAGCCAATTGGCCTAGCAATGGCATAGGGGAAACGAAAAAGTTCAGACGCCCATACAAGCCCAAGGGCGGCGAGGTCATTCTCTAGAGCCGTTACCCACCGTTAGGAGCAAATGCCGACGGAATGGCGTGAGGGAAAAGAAAAGTTCGAGCGAGGGCATGTAGGTGACGACCAACTTTTGAGGGGTACGCAGGAGTGTGGCATCTTTTTTAAGGGTACACAGGTAAAAGCCTCCCCATCTGTGGAAGGGTGGCAGCAAAATGGGCATGATGTCATGGCAACCGACGTCCAGGTGTGGAACCCATCTCCGGCTGGCACACGCCAGCCGCTTCACCTCCGGCAAGGACCTGGCCAGGAAATGGTAGGGTGGCCCTCGGATGCCCTGCCTCGCAAACGACTACGCCAAGGCCCACGGTTGCCACACGAGGCCTTTGCCACAACATGAGCAGCAAGCGGCAGAAGAGTACAAACGGCTGGCCAAGCAGCGAGGGCGGCGGCGGTGGCTGTAACGTCCCACCTCTCCGAGGCTGGGCCCGCTTACATCTGATAGCTTTCCTAGGACATAGACTGCCCTCACAGACCAACACCA